TTCAGGACTATTTTTGTCAGTATTAGATAATTTTGATATAGTCAGTATAGAAGAGTAGAACTTGCAAAGCAATGATTTCTCTCTACCAGGCAGCAAATAAGTAGAAAATATATTAAAAGTAAACAGGGGAAAGGGTTAACTAGAAAAGAACATTATATCTCTATCTGAACCTAACTGTTTTAACAGGACCCAAGGAATGTTTTTAATCTTCAAGTCAATAAAGGTTAACAAAATAAAATAAACTTCTGAGTTCCTGWCTTTTCTAGAACTCCATCTTTCCTGCTTAAGATATTTTAGAGATATCATCAGTTCTGTGCCACCCCAGCCAACAGGAAAATTTACTTAAACCTACCAAAAGGAGAAAATTATTTAATGAAAATACTGCTGTATGGCTTCTGGGTGATATCTCATTTCACCTAGACCAAAACCAATTTAAAASCAGCTGCTAGCTAATGATTTCTAGCCCTGATAAGCAAGAAATCTCTCCTGTATTTGAACAAAAGGACAGAAGATATTTATTATGTCATTTACAGAAGGATGAGAAAAGAGTAAGAATCACAGAGTTACTAAAGTTGGAAAATAGCTCCAAGATCATCAAGTGCAACCTTGGACTGAACGGCACCCTCATCCACTAGGCAGSTCAYCTGGCTGGCCAAGCTGGACCAGCTTTTCCTGAATCCATGCTGSCTGGGTCTCATCCCCTGGATGTCCTGTACATGATCATTCCGTAACTTTTCCCAGCACGGAGCTCAGGCTGACAGGCATGGAGCTCCCCAGATCCATTTCTGTAGATGTGCATCCCACTGGGCAGCCTCCAGCTGTCAGGGCCCTCCCTGGTTATCCAGGACTGATGATAAATGATGGACAGTGGCCTGGCGAGCTCTTCCACCAGCTCCCTCAGTACCTTTGTGTGARTCCCGTCAGCCCATGGACTTCAGAGTGCCTAAGTGACACAGCAGGTCTGACTGCTTCCTCMTGGATTACAGGGKGTCTATCCAGCTCCCTATCCCTGTCCACCAGATCAGGGGGCTGCTTGCCCCGAGGACAACCACTCCTTCTGTTGGAGATTGAGGCAAAGAAGGCATTAAGCACCTCATCCTTGATTATAAAGTTCCCCTCCACATCCAGTAAGACAGTCCTGCTCTGTTCCCAAACATTCACCTCTGAAGACCTATTCCCATGATCAGGGTGCAGTCTCTACTTGGACAATATATCCTTTGCAATCCTACATTATACAATTTYCAAAGGCTTTTGTAAAACTGGAGTAGAGCTGAACAACTGGAACTGAGCAGCCTGATATCACCATTTACTCTAACAGTCCACAGGCTAAACTCCATCATTTTCAGTTTTCTCGTGGCTCAGTACAGTAAAGCAAATCTCCACGGACATTTCATGAAGCCATGCCCTCTGCAAAAAGAAGAGCATCCCAAAGATGTACAAACATTACCATTTCTTACACTGGTATCGAGGAAAGCTAGTTCTGCATTTGACCTAAATGTTTAGTCAACCAGAACTTCAGAGCAATTAGAGATCTGATACAAAATACATAAAGCAATAAAAAAAAGATATTTTCCCAAATAAGATCAGGAGTTACCATCACTACCTTATCGATGGTCTCATGATTAGAAGCTGTATTAACTTGCTGCTCACATTCACACTCAGGGTATGAACATCAATATCACACTCATTACTAGAATATGTTTTGGCTCWTATTTTCTACAGATAGTATGGACATAAGTAGATCAAGCCACATGGCATTATGAACCAGAGCTCTGATCCACTGATTGCTTCTGATTACTTAAGGAAACTCCTCAGATTCTTAAAAAAACCAGCACAAAACCCCAGCCACATTMTTCTAAAAACACAAGCTCCTAACCTCTGAGTGGTATTTATAGGGTTGAGTTCTTAGGATAGGACCTTATTGAAAGTATTTTTAAGAAAACCTGAACTTCAGAGCAGTTCAGTATGTATTCTACATGTCCAGTGACTGTGAAKATTCTGAGATTACTGATTACTATTTTTATGGGCTTGAAACTATTTCAGTAAGAAGGATCCCTCAAAAATCTCTAGGCCCAAGGTGAAAACTTGGGTGGGACGGAAAACACCATTTTTGGCTCCTGTAAAATGTTTCCACAAAGATTTTTTTTTTCTTTTCAGTAGAATATTGAAAGCTTAAGGTCTCATCTTGAACTGGACAGTTTTTACATTTTATTTTGGTTTCTTTTATTGAAATTCCTGGAGGAAAAAAAARGCAGCTTTTCTAAAGARTAAGGGTCATTTGAAATTTCAGTCACAGCTTGGAACACTAACCATTTTTGGTAAGTTAAACACGTGTTTCAAGCTAGTATGTAAAAATATAAACCCAAAGAAGCTTCAGGTGCCTCATCTGTAAAAGATGAATTAGCTTTAAAATGTTCACTGCTCTTAGATATTATATCCAATCTGTCTGCAAACKTGTCAAATCCAAGCACTAATGTCATGCCCCAGTTACTCTCAGGCACAGTATTTCTCGAAAATAATTTTATATGCCATTAGCTCCAAACCCATTTATTTTACACACACAATGATGGAAAACTGTGCAAAGGTAACCAACCAGCATTAAATGGGTTTATTTTCATTTGGTGCATGAGTGGCTTACACATAAAATTTCTATTAATTATATTGTAAATCCCCTGGCACAGCAGGTTGAGCAGATTCACCCTGAAGACAGTCATCAGAAGAGATAACTGCTGTACCATGAAACATAAAATGGTCAGAGGCTTCACAGTACTTATTACTTGTGAAATATGCAGAAAAAAAAAAGGAGCAGACACTGTAGAACACATTCAAAATAGATAAAGGGAAAAGCAACAACACTGAGAAAATTTCCCTAGTTAGAACCATATACTGAAAAAGGAGGCATGTTACTACAACCTGCATTGACTAAAGAGTTGGTGAAGTTTCAGCTTGTCCACTAGGTTCTAGTCACCACCTCTTCCTCTCCACTGCTGATCTTACTGAATTCCTTTTCTGTAATCAGATACAGAATTCAGTCTCAAGTGCCAGCTACTGCTGCAAAGACAACTTTGTGATGTCCTTGTACATGAATTCCACAGGTTGGATATTTTCTGCTTTTTATCTGCACTCCACTTACCAAACCCATAAAGTAGTCATAGCCATGATCTGTATGGCTCAGTAAGGTCTCTACTGCCCTCCAGTACAGGGAGTATGTCTTGGCAAAGTGGGACACAACAGTCTCTCTGCAGCACAGGTCCCAGGGCAGTAATCCTGACCAAACCTGCATCTTCTTACTGGGCATTGCCAACACTCCCAGGCCAGGGACTGAAAGCCACACATGCTTAACCACGTAACAKCTCTTACATGTCCTCAACATTCTGCCAAGATTTCTGCATCATCATTCCCTTATGTTTATAGCACTTCATTTGTTCTCCATTGTTCAGACCTCTGGGTCTTTCCCTGGAAACTTCTCTAACAGTCGTAACTCCAGATTCTTATCCTCAGCTTTGTAACACTCCTCACAACATTGCTCTTCCATATTTGTCATTGCATCCCTCTATGATATCTCCACCAAAACTGCTCTCCTGTTTTTCTGAATCTTAAGGCCACAGTCGTGAATGTGACTGTAAGAACACACATTCTGCTCGTAAAGCCACTCAGTGCAGACACTTACACACGAACCTGTCTAATGCCAGCTGAATGGAGCATCCTCTCCTGAGCCACAGGCCCTGCACTGCTCTCCTCYCCTGCCATCTCCCTCCTCACATTCCCCGTGAAGGCAGCACAGGATTCTGCAGCACAGAACCGGACAACATATACAGCCCAGTACATTCTCTGAGAGATACAAAATTTGCTTAGAAGYTGAAAGGAAATGTTGACATTATTCCGAACCTTTAGTTCTTAACCTTGTATTAGCCTAGTAAAAAAGCACATTTGTCTCATTGTTAATCCCTACTTTCTTTGATTTATTTAAGTAGTTTTCCAATTCTGCTTATTGAGTTTCAACTGAAATAATATTTAAAGCTGCTCACTCTCACACCGCTGCCTTTATGATGTGCAGACCTAGCACTGAGCATAACAGGACACCCTGGTAGTTAACAGAACATCAAAATCAGCTGTAAAAGCATGTTGTGACTTTGGGTAATCCTCCTGACTGAAAAAAAACATAAAATSCAATTAAATCAAATTACATGAAACAAAACAGTAGAATAAAATAAAACTGCAAATTCAAAATATTTAACATAGTTAACAGAAGAAAATAATCCATGGAACATACTGTTAAGGGAAAAAATGATAAACATGTGACTGAAGAGAGTTACTATATGATCTGAACAATGTAACCAAGCTCTTTCTAATGAAGCACAGATGTAAAGAAGAGTGGACTAGCACAGCCAATCTATTTGAATTTACACTCATTTATTCCTCTATTTCTCCATTAAAATAAACATGATGYTTAGAAATTACAAGAACCTTTACATTTCCTAAACTAAACCGTGTTCTAGCTGTGTGGATGGTAACTACAAGGTGATAATACTGTTATTATTAAAAATAATAAATACATATATGTCAGGAAAAATAGCTAATACATGCATACATTATATTTGTTTATAAGTCACTGAATATTAGCTACATTTTACACAAAATCCAGAAGTACATTTATTAGAAACCCACTGGCCCTCTGCATTGTGGAAGCCCATGCACGGCGTGAACACATTGCTGGGGGAACTGAATGGATTGGTTAGGAAAGCCAGCTTTGTACAGCAGAGCAAAATCACTGTGGAACCTGCTCCTAGCCAGAATGTGAAGGACTGAATTGCTCCAATCTTCCCAGACACTACCTGCCCACGCTCAGTATTACTGTCCTGCAGACACTTCAACATGCAAGGTAAATGCAGCTAATAAGCATAATTAGCTCAGACAATGTATTTTGATTTAGTTTTGCACTAAAGACTAATTGCCTACTCAGCGAAGGGGAGGTGTAACATTTTTTTTAAGATGCTTACCCGAGGGCCCTGATCACCTTGATCTCCCTGCAAAGTGGAAAGATGAGATGATAGGTTTAACACAGCATCTGTGTGCTACCCAGCTCTCTTACATCATCTGACATTTCACTGCATCAATACAAACAGTCTCTTGAGTTCATGCTGGGAGAGCTTTCCAGGCACCTTGTGAGAATCACCCGAACATCAACTCACCTTCTCGCCTTTTGGACCAGGAGGGCCCTGAAAGAAACAAAGGCAAAGATTAATTACTGATGAAGCGCTGGGACATAAYAAGAAACCTGCAATTTCTGTGACAACCTGCAATTTCTTCCAAACAGTGTATTTCCTTATAGTTTTTAACTCCAAATATCAGGGCTATTCCAGAGATGCCTCCTTCRCTGTACTAAGAATAGGAACTGCWCACAATTTCTTGCATAGTTTGCTAATCCTGTGTGTTGAATCAGTCTACTTAGAAAAGCAAAACTATGCCYGWAATGGCAAAATTTCTACTGATTTCRCTTAGGAACARCAGTTTATCTCCTGTCAGACACAAAAAGTTTTCTAAGACTGCAAAAGTTCTTTGTAAGTGCACTTAATAAATTCAAATGAATATAAATCTGTCATGTGTTTKGGCACTCTCCTTGTCTTAGATTGCCAAAGAAAAATGGATTAGGAAATCTAAAAGTAGGGTTTTCATTCCTTTCTTTGGCAATACTGATGTTTAGTCTCAAGCACACTGTTTAGACAAAATGAGCTCTTTGTATAACATGGTTTTGCAGRAGTATTAATTTTTGTTACTTACCACCCAACAAACAGGTGGTGGAATCACAGAATACAGAGGTCTTTTCCTATTCCMTTTTTATTAAGCACTTTCCAGAAAGCTACCAGCACCTTTCTAAACCACTGTTTTTTTCTGGTTAGTATCTTGTGAATAAAAATGCTATCAGTCTGCAGAAAACTGGCTGCTTACACAGTGCAGACTCTACCTCCAGCTTTCTGAAAGATWTGCAGGTGTTTCATTACAAAGAAGGAGCTGAGATACATATGAAAGCAGCTGTAAACAGAGAAGGAGCCATTCAAGCTAGCATGGCTCACTGTYATAACACAAAGAGAATGTGTGGCAGTGTGTTTGTGGGGGTGTATGCATGCAGAACAAGGAAAGATTGTCACCCACAACACTGGCAAAAATTCATATGGTTCACATAAACGCAGTGGAATGGAGGTCAGTTTGCTGTGTACTAAAGATGTRATCAACCACAGGCAAGACTTTCAGAATCCCCAATGTAGCCAAATTTTCTGCTTCATTTTAAGGGTTTCTGATGCATGCCAGAGAAGAGCATCTGCTGCTAAACCTTTCAAGGAATTAAAGCATATGCCTCTCCTTCCAGAGCCTGCCATCTCTTCTGTCTGCTGCAGAGGACACAGAAACAAGTCTGCCTCCTGAAGTCTCCATGTCTCCTTCAGGAAGGACAGTGCTCACTGCCAGCTGAGTGGAAACTGCTCAATTAACTATGACCCCTGCCCACTTTACGTTGCACTGCAGGCACTTGGTCTCTTTAAAAGTAAATTAAGCAAAATAATTTAATGAACAGATACAACCTGGCTGCACTTTAAAGGTCTCTCAATTTATTTTTTTTAAATATACTTTAACCCTTACTGTCCTTTCCCAGTTCATGTGTTCACATAAACATGTACTGAAAACTATGTGCAAGCACTACCTACTTTCAGCTAMAATCTTTAGTCAGTGCTGGCTGTTGCTGCCTTTTCCACAGTGAGCACTGAGCACAAGCAAAGGGCTGTGCTCATGCATTCTACCTCCCTGAATTATCCATTACTGGCTCTGRATATCTTACTGGCTGCAAAGTGCAAATAGCATGACCCCTATCTGCTGCCGGCAGAATCCTATTTCTTGGGCTTTAGGCATGAAATTATAGATAACATGACATGACTGGGACTGTAAACAGATGTTGTCTTGTGGGAGGTGCTGCTGCCTTCATTTAGATGCTCAGTGCTGCTCTTATGCCCAAGAGTRGCTCTGCTTCTGATGGGTTTTGGCTCGTAACTTTTCTACGGGGTGCTTGCCACATCTCTGCCTGTGGGTAGAACGTAAGACAGGACAGATCACAACACCTGCCTGGGCTAAGCTGCTCACTGGAACAAGTGAGGGGGGTTCAGCCACCCCTCTCATGAGAGGTTCAGGCACCAGATCTGCAGGGTACAACTGCTGGCAGTATGTTCAGCCATCTCCAGCTGCAGAAGTAGCCTCTGCCCCACCCTGCATATTTTCCTCTGTTAAGCGTTCTCTGAAAGCACAATCCATACCCAAACGTGCTTTTTAATAAGACTGAATCATGTATCTTTTTTTTTCTCCTTCTTCAGTGCAGGGTTTTCTGAAAATGACCTGTGCACGTCATAATCAGAATTTGGTTTTTCCATTGCTTGGTGTTTTCTCTCCCTGAGTGGCACACACCACCATCTCTATCAAGTAACCCTTCCAGCACMCAATTTTTTCATAAAAGTCTTCAAAAATATCTTGTAATTTTATTGTACCAGGAGTTAAAAACAGCTTTTCAAAAGGCCACGAGAGCATTTCTGGTGTGACCATTTGCACAAGTCTCTTCACTTGTATTTGCAATGTTTTTGCTTTCCACAAGAGTCTTGAAAAACAAACAATTGAAAAAAAATAGGTCTTTTGGATGCAAGTGAAGAGAACCAATGGGATTTAATCAAAATAAAAATTAATGCAATACTTTCACAGCTTGTTCGCCCATCTCTGGCTTTTCCCCCACTGTTTCAATTGTCCTCTATTGTTATTGCAACTTTAAACAGAAAATTCCTATCCTCAGCCTTYTGACATCTTCTTTCCATTTGTGCTGAGAAATTCTCCCAAGGTTTTTACTGCAGAGTTTATTAGTGTGTGTACACTGAGCGGAGGCAGGGAGGAAGAAAAATCGGGGGGAAGGTTGGGTTTGTGGGGGTGGGGTGTGATTAGGAGACAGATTTGTTTAAAGGAGGGCAAGGTTTCTTCTGTTTAAGGGTACAGACACAAAGCACAGAGTGAGTAAAATAACACTAGTTTTGTAGGCCACAGCATAGACTTGCTGCTTTTTTCCCAGGGAGACTTCTGTGCTTTCGTTTATGAGATGGCAGAGATCAAGCCGCGAGCTGCCGAACAAATGTGAAAGCATTTTGTGTAAGTTATATGAAACGTCTGAGGTCAGAGCATTTCTGAAATAACTTTACAGTGTTTTCACTGGAAACAGAGGCTCTTTTCTCAAAGTGTAATTATCTACTCCAGACTACTATACATTTCCGTGGGGAGTTTGTAGCCTGTTTCACATAAGCAAGGCCTTGTAARTCTCAAACACATGCAAAATCTGCATTCATAATTAGGCAAAAATTACTACTGTTTTTAAAATAAGGTCTCCTAAAGCAGACTTAAAGGCCTTCAGGCACCTGCCAGCCAAAAACAAAGCTGAAATCAGGGTCAAATCCAAAAAACAATCATGTTCAGGATTGCTGACAGGTGACCCCTTTTTTTTCATTTTTAGTATCAAAATCCCATTTCCATTCTCTGATCAAATTTTACATTATAATAAATATATGTACAAGAACAGAARGCCAAGAGAATGTATTACTAGAAAAAAGGAGACTGATCCTTGCAGTCTTCATCAGATAGCATCCCCTAAGAATTAACTGTGATCAGCATGTTTTATTTCACACAGTTCAAATTTTGTAAATTCATTCCCTGAAAGATGCTAATTTTGTATTCCACCCTTGAGGCCACAGCCGCCTATATAGTTTTGCAAAAGTTACATTCAGAGGACCTCATAAAAAGCCTATAATTGACTTATACTGATATTACAAACATTTGTATTTATCAATATTCTCTTACAGTTATATTCTCTCTTCCCGTTGCTACAGATCTGCCTTGAACCACAATACAGGAAGTTCTGCAGCAAACTCACCCGAAAGGTTTCAAGAATTGATGGGATGGTAGAACTGGAAATAGTAAGGGATTCTTAGCACAGGGTTGAAAGAGACAGCAACGTGGAAGGTTCTGTAGAAAGCTCCACATTCAGGACAGAGGAATGCAGATTTTTCCTGACTGCTAGACAGCCCACATTGTGCCTCTGTAAAAAGAGGAGCCTGACACAAGCTGGTGACAACCAACCAACAGAATCAGCTGGACTGTGACAGTCCCAGATCCCACTGGGATCATCCACCTTCACAGCTCCTGAGGAAYGTGACATGTCAAACTTGACAGCTCCCATCAGACAGAGCTACCACAGCAGGCACAGGTAATAATAACCTTTCAGACACAGTCACTGCTGTCCCACATTTCCACCACAACAGCCATAGGCTAAGGCAAACTGAATGCAGTTTGCAGGACTCTGCCTTCATTTTCATTTGGGATCACAGAGCATCCCTACCAGCAGCTACAGCAGCCACAGTGAGAGTGTGAACGGGGGCCTCGCAGAGCTGAACAGAAAACTGAACCAGTTATTCCAATGTCATCCAGACAAATCCAAAAAGGGAATCAATTTGCCAACTTAGTTTAATCTGTTTTCACAACTAAATAGCTTGCCGTCTCTTGCCTAAATTAATCCAATTACTGGAGATTACTTTGAGGATATAAGGTGGCTTTAGCCTATAACAACAAAATAATCAGATCCAAAAGTCAAACTTTCTTTGAAACTTGACTCRTGACTTCCACAAATTACAGGAATCTGACTGGAACAACAGTCCTCAGTCTATCMTATAATTGCTGCAAAATATTAGGATCAGATATGCTGAATCATAGGAGGTTATAGAGAGTATTATGGAACACCACAGTGTTTCGCAACTGTTTCGAAGTTCCTACACTCATTTCAGTCTTGTGTCCACCATGCAACCCTGAGCTAGTGAGCCATGTGGTTTTGGCATCTGCTGAGCTTGGCCATGTGTTTCAGCCAGTGTTTACATGTGCTAGTTTACAATGCCAAAATTTCACCTTGCATCAATTTTACAAGTACTCAGAAGAATTTTCAGTGAATCTGAACAGTTTCTCCTGCAGAAGTCCCTTCTTTTTCACATGTTTTATTCTTCCCCTGTAATATGACTGACTTATGGTGAAAACTTCAACCAACAACCTCTCAAAAGACTCTTACTAATATTTCATTTCCTCCCCTTATATTCTAAAGCTCTTGTTAAAATATCCTGAGGCAGGRAAAAACAAACTGAATTTTTGACACCATAAT